AGAAGAAGGGAAGGAAGGAAGGAGAAAAGGAAAGAAGAAAGTGAAAGAGGGAATGAAGGAAGGAGGGAAGGAAAGAAAGAAAGAAGGAAAGAGAAGGAAGCATGGAAGCAAAGAGCGAAAGAAGGAAGGAAAGAAGTAGAGAAGGAAGGAGAGAAAGAGGGAGGAAAGGAAAGAGAGAAGGAAGCATGGAAACAAAAAGAAGGAAGGAAAGAGGTAGAGATGGAGGCAAAGACCGAAGGAAGGAGAGAAAGGGAGGGAAGGAAGGATGGAAACAAAAAGCGAAAGAGGGAAGGAAGAAGAAGAAGGAAGAGAAAAAGAGGGAAAGAAAAAGGGAAGGACGGAAAGGGAGCGAAGGAAGGAGAGAAAGGGGGAGGGAAGGAAAGAGAGAGAAAGGATGAAAGCAAAAAGCGACAGAAGGAAGGAAAGAGGTAGAGAAGGAAGAAGGGAGAGAAGGAAAGAGAAAGTAGGATGGAAGGAAAGAGAGAAGGAAGAAAGGGTAAGGTAAAGATACAGAGGGAAGAAAGGAAAAAGAAGGAAGAGAAAAAGGAAAGGAATGAAGGAAAGGAAAGAAAAAGGAATGATGGAAAGAGCAAAGGAAGGAAAGAAGGATGGAAGCAAAAAGCGAAGGAAGAAAGGAGAGAAAGGGGAAGGAAAAGATATAGAGGGAAGGAAGGAAAGAACAAAAGAAGTAAAGGGAAAGGAGGAGAGAAAGACGGAGGGAAGGTTGGCCACAGCAACGCGTGTCGGGTACAGCTAGTTACAAATAAATTAATAATCATAATAATAGTAATAATAATGACGGGCCAGCGTTGTGGAGGGAGTATCCCCTTTCCTTTTTCAACCATGGACTCCCTTTTCTATAACCAGGGATGCTATCTTTCTGCAAACGTGCAGGATGTGTGTGTGTGTGTTTGTGTTATTCCGGATTGTGGGAATGGCGAAGCCCCGGATGCTGTAGGCAGAGCGCCTTGCAGCCCGGTCCGGTATGCGGCTTGGTCTCCTTTTGGTGCATGATGCCGCCCTTTGGCCTCCTAACCGCTCCTAACCACACGCATGGCCCCTTCCGCTCTCCTTGGACCCCGTTCCCTCCTTTTCGGCTCCTTCCCATGACATGAAACATGCGCTGGATCATGCTCTCGGCGTCCCCGTTTCCCCTCTGGATCTGCGCAGCTGCTGCGGAGATTTCCCACCCGGCGCCCGTCCATCCTGCCCTTCCGAAAGGCAACATCCATCCATCCATCTATCTATTCATCATGGCTCCGTATATTATTGTTATTGTTATTATTATTATTATTATTATTATTATTATTATTAATATTCTCCTGAAGGATACTCAATGCAGCTATGTATCATTAGTACTGGAAATTATTATTCGTATTAGAATATATTATTATTAATACCCTGCTTTATCTCTCCTGAAGGATACTCAATGCAGCTATGTATCTATTATTAGTATTGAAAATTATTATTAGTATTGGAATGTATTATTATTAATAATAATACCCTGCTTAATCTCCCCCGAAGGAGACTCAAAGCGGCTATGTATTGATTATTAGTATTGGAAATTATTATTAGTATTAGAATATATCATTATTAATATTATTATTAATACCCTGCTTTATCTCTCCTGAAGGAGACTCAATGCAGCTATGTATCTATTATTAGTATTGAAAATTATTATTAGTACTGGAATGTATTATTATTATTATTATTATTATTATTATTATTATTATTATTATTTATACCCTGCTTTATCTCTCCCGAAGAAGACTCAAAGCAGCTATGTATTGATTTTTAGTATTGGAAATTATTAGTATTAGAATATATTATTATTATTATTATTAATACCCTGCTTTATCTCTCCTGAAGGATACTCAATGCAGCTATGTATCTATTATTAGTACTGGAAATTATTATTATTAGAATGTATTATTATTATTATTATTAATACTCTGCTTTATCTCTCCCGAAGGAGACTCAACATAGCTATTTATCTATTATTGATATTGGAAATTATTATTAGTATTAGAATTTATTATTATTAATATTATTTATACCCTGCTTTATCTCTCCTGAAGGAGACTCAAAGCGATGGTGTGTATTATTGATACTGGAAATTAGTATTAGAATTTATTCTTATTCTTATTATTATTATTATTACCCTGCTTTATCTCTCCCAAAGGTGACTCAAAGCGGCTATGTATCATTAGTATTGGAAATTATTATTAGTATTAGAATTTATTAATATTATTAATAATAATAATGTCGTGCTGTATCTCTCCCGAAGAAGACAGCTGTGTATCTATTATTAGTACTGGAAATTATTATTACCGTAGTATTAGAATATATTATTATCATTATTTATACCCTGCTTTATCTCTCCTCAAGGGTACTAAATACAGCTATGTATCTATTATTAGTACTGGAAATTATTATTAGTATTAGAATTTATTATTATTATTATTTATACCCTGCTTTATCTCTCCTCAAGGGTACTAAATACAGCTATGTATCTATTATTAGTATTGGAAATTATTATTAGTATTAGAATTTATTATTATTATTTATACCCTGCTTTATCTCTCCTGAAGGAGACTCAATGCAGCTATGTATCTATTAGTACTGAATATATTATTATTATTATTATTATTATTATTATTATTATTATTATTATTACCTTGCTTTATCTCTCCCGAAGGTGACTCAAAGTGGCTATGTATCTATTATTAGTACTGGAAATTATTATTAGTATTAGAATTTTTTATTATTATTATTATTAATAATAATAATACCTTACTTTATCTCTCCCGAAGGAGACTCAATGCAGCTATGTGTCTATTATTAGTATTGGAAATTATTATTATTATTATTATTATTATTATTATTATTATTTATATCTTGCTTTATCTCTCCCGAAGGTGACTCAAAGTGGCTATGTATCTATTATTACTATTGGAAATTATTATTAGTAGTATTAGAATGCATTATTATTATTATTATGTATATCCTGCTTTATTTCCTCCCTTTGACTGTGATGGTCAGCCTGAGTGTCCAGTCCCTTCTGCCCCGTTGACCTTGCCTCTGCTTCCTCTCTTGGGGCCCTTTCTGTCCTTTCCTTCCCGAAGGCCTGAGGAAGAAGAACCTCTCTCCCGGGGCCGTGGAGTCCGACGTCCGAGGCATCACCGGCGTCGACCTCTTCGGCACCACCGACGCCGTGGTCAAGCACGTCCTGGAGGTACCAACTGTGGGGGACCCTCAGGCCATCTAGTCCAGCCCCATCACCATCATTATTCAGACTGGACAGTCCCTGGGATCTCTTAAGCTTCTGTTGTTGTTGTTGTTGTTAACACTGGATGGCCCTTGGGGTCTCCTCCAACTCTTAAGATATTATTATTATTACTGTTATTATTAATATTATACAGACTGCATGGCCCTTAGGGTCTCCTCCAGCTCATAATAATAATAATAATAATAATAATAATAAAAAATATGTTGTTATTATTCAGTGGCTGGATGGCCCTTGGGGCCTCTTCCAACTCTAGGATTCTATTATTATTATTATTATTATTATTATTATTATTATTATTATTATTATTCAGATTCTAGGGTTCTATTATTATTATTATTCAGACTGGATGGTCCTGGGATTTCTTCCAACTCTTAAGGCGTTGTAGTTGTTGTTATTATTGTTGTTAAGCAGAGGCTGGATGGTCCTTGGATCTCTTCCAACTCTAGGATTCTATTATTATTATTATTATTATTATTATTATTATTATTCAGACCAAATGGTCCTGGGAATTCTTTCAATTTTTAAGGTGTTGTTGTTAAGCAGAGGCTGGGTGGCCCTTGGGGTTCCTTCTAACGCTAGGATTTTATTATTATTATTATTGTTATTATTATTATTATGCTGCAGAGCCTGGGTGGCCATCTGTCAGGAGGGCTTTGATGGTATCTCCCTTTATGGCAGAACGGGGTTGGACTGGATGATCCTTGAAGGTCTCTTCCAATTCTGAGAGTCTAGTATTATATTTATTATTATTATTATTATTATTATTATTATTATTATTATTATGTTGCAGAGCCTGGGTGGCTATCTGTCAGGAGGGCTTTGATGGTATCTTCCTTCATGGCAGAAGGGGGTTGGATTGGATGATCCTTGGGGTCTCTACCAACTCTGTGAGCCTATTATTATTATTATTATTAAGCAGAGGCTGGATGTCCGTTGTTGTTGTTGTTGTTATTGTTATTATGTTGCAGAGACTGAGTGGCCATTTGTCAGGAGGGCTTTGATGGTATCTTCCTTTATAGCAGAAAGGGGTTGGACTGGAGGATCCTTGAGATCTCCCCCAACTCTGAGCGACTATTATTATTATTATTAGTATTAGTATTATTATTAAGCAGAGGATGGATGTCCATTGTTGTTGTTGTTGTTATTATTATTATTGTTATTATGTTGCAGAGACTGGGTGGCCATTTGTCAGGAGGGCTTTGATGGTATCTTCCTTTATAGCAGAAAGGGGTTGGACTGGATGATCCTTGAAGGTCTCTTTCATTTCTGAGAGTCTAGTATTGTATTTATTATTATTAGTATTATTAGTATTATTATTAGTCCATCGTTGTTGTTGTTATTGTTATTATGTTGCAGAGACTGGGTGGCTATTTGTCAGGAGGGCTTTGATGGTATCTTCCTTTATAGCAGAAAGGGGTTGGACTGGATGATCCTTGAGATCTCTCCCAACTCTGAGAGTATTATTATTATTATTATTATTATTATTATTATTATTATTATTATTATTATGCTGCAGAGAATGAATGGCCATCTGTCAGGAGGGCTTTGATGGTATCTCTTTATGGCAGAAGGGGGTTGAACTGGATGATGCGTCTGTTCTCTTCCAATTCTGAGAGTCTAGTATTATATTTATTATTATTATTATTATTAGGCAGAGGCTGGATGTCCATCTGTTGGAAGGGATCGGGTTGTGCCTTTCCTGCCTGGCAGAAAGAAGGGGGCTGGGCTGGATGGCCCTTCCTTGGGGGGGGGGGGTCCCTTTTTGTGACCACGCTCTGACCCGTCTTTCTTTCCTTCTTTCAGGGCCACGACCGCGGGGTGAACTGGGCGGCCTTCCACCCGACCATGCCGCTCATTGTCTCGGGTGCCGACGACCGGCAGGTCAAGATCTGGAGGATGAACGGTAGGGAAGGGAGGCGGGGCGGGAGGGTTGGCGTGGCGCCTTCCGTGCTGCGGTCAAACTCCGGACGCGTCTCCCCCGTCCTCCTCTCCTCTCCGCAGAGTCCAAGGCCTGGGAGGTGGACACCTGCCGCGGCCACTACAACAACGTCTCCTGCGCCGTCTTCCACCCGCGCCAGGAGCTGATCCTCAGCAACTCCGAGGACAAGAGCATCCGCGTCTGGGACATGTCCAAGCGGTCAGTGCGCCCTCCCCCGCCCCCCCATGCCCCCTAGGCATCGCGACTTCAGCTTAATAATAACAATAGAACGATACCACCCTATTATTATTATTAATTGTTATATATCCCTATAACAATCTATATATATATAAAGGTTAACGTCGTCCTTAGTGGTTCAAAAATGGAAAAAATACAGGACCAAATCTCACCATATCCATTATATATTACTATAATAATATAATATACAATAACGATAGAGCAATACCATCCTATTATTAATAATTATATATTATTATAACAATATACTATATAATAACAATAGAACGATATCATCTTATTATTAATTATAATTATATATTACTATAATAATATATAATAACAATAGAATGATGCAATCTTATTATTAATAATTATATAATACTATAATAATTTAATATATAATAACAACAGAACAATACCATCCTAATATTATCCATTATTATATATAATAATACAATAATAATATAATAATTGTATATAATATATAATAATAGAACGATACCATCCAATTATTATTATCGAATAATATATTTTGATAATATATATTATAATATATATTTGTAATATATAATGATAGTATATTTTATAATATATATATAATGATAAAATATTATTTATAATATATAATAATGTATTTTTTATAATATATAACATAATAATGTAATAGAGTTAGAAGAGACCCTAAAGGCCATCCAGTCTCTGTTTATTATTATTATTATTATTATTATTACTAATAATAGAACCATACCATCCTAGAGTTGGAAGGGACCCCAAGGGTCATCCGGCCCAGCTTCCCTCTGCTAGGCAGAGAGAAACCATCCGATCCCTCCTAACAGATGGCCATCCATAATTTTATTTATTTCCTATATTTATACCCCACCCTTCTCCCCCTGAATAATAATAATAATAATAGAACCATACCATCCTAGAGTTGGAAGGGACCCCAAGGGTCATCTGGCCTGGCTTCCCTCTGCTATGCTGGGGGACACCATCTGATCCCTCCTAACAGATGGCCATCCATAATTTTATTTATTTATTTCCTATATTTATACCCCGCCCTTCTCCCCCTGAATAATAATAATAATAACCATACCATCCTAGATTTGGAAGGGACCCCAAGGGTCATCTGGCCCAGCTTCCCTCTGCTAAGCAGAGAGACACCATCTGATCCTTCCTGACAGATGGCCATCCATAATTTTATTTATTTATTTATTTCCTATATTTATACCCCGCACTTCTCCCCCCGAATAATAATAATAATAATTTCCTGCTTCTCTTCCTTCCTCTTCCTCAGCACCGGCGTCCAGACTTTCCGCAGGGACCACGACCGCTTTTGGGTCCTGGCGGCCCACCCCAACCTCAACCTCTTTGCCGCAGGTAAGTGGATTAATAATAATAATAATAATAATAATAATAATAATAATAATAATTCGTTTTTATTTAGTGATCTCTTGCATGGCTGAAAGCCACCTCTGCGCCAAACTTTTCATAGGAGGCGTCTCAAGTGGCTGATAGCTCTTCCTCTGAATGGGCACAACTACGATATCGTCGACGTATGGGAATTCTATCTCTGAAGCTGTTGTGATCTAATAATGATAATGATAATAATAATAATAATAATAATTCGTTTTTATTTAGTGATTCCTTGCATGGTTCAAAGCCACCTCTGCGCCAGGAGGTGTCTCAAGTGGCTAATAGCTCTTCCTCCGAATGGGCGCAACTACGATATCGTCGGCGTATGGGAATTCTATCTCTGAAGCTGTTGTGATCTAATAATGATAATAATAATAATAATAATAATAATAATTCGTTTTTATTTAGTGATTCCTTGCATGGCTCAAAGCCACCTCTGCGCCAGGAGGTGTCTCAAGTGGCTGATAGCTCTTCCTCCAAATGGGCGCAACTACGATATCGTCGACATATGGGAATTCTATCTCCGAAGCTGTTGTGACCTAATAATGATAATAATAGTTTTTATTTAGTGATTCCTTGCATGGCTCAAAGCCACCTCTGCGCCAGGAGGTGTCTCAAGCGGCTAATAGCTCTTCCTCCG